CAGAGGTCACAAACCCAGCACACTACGGAGGTCACGGGACAACCATAGACAGGATGTTCAGTAGACACGGCAAACAAAGCAAAACCGTGAGGCCACTGCCTCCATCTACATCGGAAGTGTTTAAATTCGGAGGCTCATGGGTATCAGTTCAGGAAGGTGTGTGCCCAGTGTGTATTGCGCAATAAGATCCAGCCACTGACGGCAAGGGGCAGAATTCTCAGCTCTATCTTCCAGACATATGAGGAAATGATAGGGACAAGGACCATCTGGACCATGTGCAGGCAGGGTTCTCCATGCTGGAAGGGCTACACACCGCCTCAAGCACCAGCATGGAGAGTTCCATAGCAATCAACTGCTAGTGCACAGACTCAGACACACCCACAAACACACACATATGCATGCATATATACACACACATACACATATACACAGAGACAGGCAGACACTTATGTAGACACACACACATACACACACATATACACACCCCTCCTAAGCAAATGCACACACATCTGAACCCTGCATGAGCCTTTGTCAAGGCAGAGCTCCTCACATCGCCAAAGATGGAGACGGGAGGCTGAGGCAGGAGGATTGTGTGGGAGTTCCAGGCCATTCTGGGCTGCAGTGGGAGACCATATTTCAAAATAAAGTATATAAATACACAAGCAAACTAATGGATAAAATCCGCCTAAAAGGTGCACGCATGGAAACAGGAGCGAGACTGACCTTAACAGAGTTGTCAGCAGACATGGAAAACACTTTGTTTTCTTCAGAAGACACGTGTACATAGACCACAGGAGCCATGTGGCCTCTCAGCGTACCTGTTGGTTTTCTAGAAAGAAAAGAACAAATGAAGACAAAGCCATTCTATCTGCTGTATATATATATATATATATATATATATATATATATATATATATATATATATATATATATATATATTTTAATGTAAAACCTGGATCTGGCCGTTCTATTCAGCCCGGAGGAGGCTTCTGTTTCCCTCTGATATTACACAAGTATATATTTTGTGTAATAAAAGGACGGAGGCAAAATAATAAGCAGTTTTAGCAACAGAACTTGGGGTGAGAGGAAGCCTGGGGCTCCGCTTCTCCAGCTGTTAACAATAGTTGTATAAAAGGAATAAGCAAGGAAGAGCCTGAGGCGGGCTGCCGTGGACTCCGGGACACGCGGGCACTTTCTCTAGGCCTGAGTGAACAGAGTTAAAATCCGGGCTTTGCAATATAAAGCTGTGTTAAAGTGCCCTTGCAGGACGTCATGTCTGGATACTCCAGGAGGGTCAAGAGATGGAGAGAAAAGAAGCCTGGCTGAGGCCAAGGGAGAGCACACGCCTGCTTTTAGCCATAACAGGAACAGGCAGAAAACTGCCTCTCATTTTTATTATGTCTCTTGCATTGCTCTGAGTCTTTTTATTGTTTTTTTTTTTTTCTTTTTTCAATCTTCATTATCACCCTAGAGAGTGAGAATCTTGTCACCATTATACATGGGAAAATTGAGTCCGTTGCAGGTGGTTAGGAGAACCTCCCAGCCGGGAAGTCATAGAGACATAATCAGATTCAATACCCATGGTCCCTCACAGTCCTGGCTATTACCTGCGCCATGGATGGACACAGGGTCCCCTTGTGGGTCCCCAAGGATGCCAAAGAAAGTGGCCCAGACAGGAACCTGGGCATAGCCTACGTGATTCGTGCTCACCCGAACCAAAAGACCAAGTGGGTCCCCTCCTCCCCACTCTCTGGTCCTCAGCACTTCCCTGGGGAATTGACAGGCCTGCCTATGGGGCTTCAGGGCTGTCACGGACCTGATGCTGGGGGGGGGGGCGCGCGGGGCCCAAGACGACAGATGGATTCCAGACATCACTACACAGTGGGTCTCAATACACAACCAAGACGGTGGAACTGGAGAGAAAGCGTTCTCTCCATGGCTTGGTGGAGAAAGCGCTTACTGGGCAAGCAGCGGGCATGAGGGGTGGAGTTCAGACCCCCAGAAATGTGGGGTGGGAGGGGCAGGCTGCCGGTGGTTTAACCCTAACCCCGAGGAGCTAGACCAGTGGTAACAACAAACTCCGGGTTTGACTGAGAGACTCTGCTGCAGTGACTGGGGTAGAAGGTGGCTGCAAACCCCTGCCTTTGCATCCCGATGCTGCGAGAAACACTGCAATTGATGCTGCTGCAATCAAAAGCAAAGTCAGGGAGAAGAGGCTTTATTTCAGCTTACAACTCCCAGGTCACGCTCCCTCGCTGATGGAGGTATCTTCTCCACTGAGTTTTTTCCCCTCCCCGAGTGACTCTAGTTGATGTCAAGTTGACAAAAATCCCAATCAGCACAATCAGGCAACCACACACACATGCACAAGCTCTCACATAGACACGCCAACATGCACACACACACACATACACACACACACACACACACACACACACACACACACACACACACACACAC